ACACACACACACACACACACACACACACACACAAAAGAATCAACACCCACTTCACATATGCACCACTAATATCACCGTGAATCTCAATAAACATATTACATAACTCCTGAGCACACACAAAAGAATAAACACCCACTTCACATATGCACCACTAATATCACCGTGAATCTCAATAAACATATTGCATAAGTAACATAACTCCTCAGCACACACAAAAGAATAAACACCCACTTCACATATGCACCACTAATATACATGAATCTCAATAAACATGTTACATAACTCCTCATCACACACAAAAGAATAAACACCCACTTCACATATGCACCACTAATATCACAGTGAATCTCAATAAACATATTACATAACTCCTCAGCACACACAAAAGAATAAACACCCACTTCACATATGCACCACTAATATCACAGTGAATCTCAATAAACATATTACACAACTCCTCAGCACACACAAAAGAATAAACACCCACTTCCCCCACTCTATCCCGGGTGTGCATCTGGGTACGCGGATAATCTTCACCTCTGCAGATGTGCTGCCCTCCAGCGGCAACTGTTTCTAGCAGCTAACCCCATTGTCATTACCACCCACCCCCTCCTCTTCTCGTCCTCACCGTCAGGTGCTCGAATAGGCTTTGTATATATTTGAAAAATAAACAGCAGGGGCTGGTTTCACGAAGCGTGATTAACTTTAATTATGATTAAATCACTAATCATACTTAACCTCCTGTAATTATGATTAATTAATCATACTTAAAAATCTGTTGCACGAGGCGATTTAAGTACATATTTAACTAATCACATAATTAGCCGACTTAAACATGAATTACACTGTATTCAAAATGGCGGACAACGCCAAAAGTATCTGCAAATTCGGTACATGAAAAAGAATTAATTTGCAATTATAATGACTAAATTAGTACAGCTAATCGTAGATAATTTAAATTTCCTTGGAAAAAAATTGGAGTAAAATTTCCAATTGTAAAATCTGCAGCGTACTTAATATACTAGTACTACCTACATACTACTTCTAGTACTATAGCAACTAATTATGATTAGTGGATTTCATCATGCTCCTGAGTAGAATTAAATATTGTGAATAACTTAATCATGATTAAAGTTAATTACGCTTCGTGAAACAGTCACTTCAATTTAAATACGGTAAGTTAATCATGATTAAATACTTAAGTACGCTTCGTGAAACCGGCCCCTGAATTCTATTACCGTGGTGACAAATGTCGGCCTAGGGCAAAACATGTTTACCTATTCAACAAGACCCAGCTAGAGCCATGCTATTATTGGCTTAAGGAGGCATACAACAGTAAGCCTCCGCAAATTATTGCACTATTTCGTCTCTAGAAAAGGCATTTTTGACCTTTTTTTCGCCGAAATTTGGCACTACAGTGCAATAATTTGCATTATGCACGCAAGTTAGATGCCTTGTGGATGTCTAGAAAGCATTAGAAGTAAAATTGGTCTTGTTGTGTATTTGTGACATTCTGTCAGGTGGCGTAGCAACAGCGACCGGTTGGTAATTTTTGTGTTTGAAATGTGTTCAGACAACTTTGCAGAAATTCGCATCATGGAGCTGGCAAACGTTTCGAGCGGAGCATATAGAGCATGAATCTGCAGTTATTTAACATGAATAAAGTGTATGTTGTGTAATTGCGAAGTAACAGTAGAGTATTTTTAATTAATTTCTGTTCGATGCTTATTCAGGCCTGCTGCCTATGGACGCCCTCTACTGTTGTTCACCACCTTAAACAGCCGCGCCACGCCCCAGCAACTAGGTTGTCCACGGGCCTATACACACAACAACCAGAGAACGATAAACCTGCCATGTCCAGCTTTATTTGTTTAAGAATCAATGCGCGTAAAACCATCAAATGTTATCGACACCACCAGTGGCTCTTTGTCACACTGGTGCGTTAATTGCACAACAATTAACAGCCCTATTGTTCAATTACATGACAATGTTTGGTCCAAGCAAGGTGTAAACAGTGAAAGCAATCTTTACCATACATGCGCAATGGTCGATGTACTGTACTGTACCGTCTGTACGTATTAACGCGATTCCAATGCTTCCCGACAAGACACAAACCGGATGCACCAGACATGTATATAATTGAATACGGTACTTGACGCACGCACGTATGACACTACACACAAAAACAAACCTACAGAATATATTATTTTTATTTATTTATTAATTTAAAGACGGTACATTGGTAACAGGTATGTCAACATGAGCTTGCAAGCTCCTCACCGTCAGTGCAATAAAATTATACAATTCTTAGTTAAAAGTGCCAGTCTAACAAAGTAACAAACAAGGATACCTGGGCAGCTAGGCTAGGTATCCGGTCCTTACTAAAATTAAATCGCGGACACTATGTTATAACATTATTATTATTATTATTATTATTCTTTATTGCATGTAATTCAAATACAAGTACATGTTCTGATGCTATACGTTCGGTGAGATGTCACAGAGTGTGAATCTGTATTTTTAGTTTGAAAGTATACTCGCCCGTTGGCGATGTACCGGCCTCGGGGTGTCGTGTGTTCAGTAATGGTGCGATTTGATTGTACACGTATGGCGGTAGATTTGGCTGTGTGTGGGGTTCTAATTGTCAGATATTAGCCATGTGTCAATGATTTAATTATTTGTATAGTGTCAACAGCTGGTAGATTTGTACGATAACATGAATGTACGTTCGTTCGCATGTATACATATAAATACGCATACATATTTATATACGCGATCTTTACTGTACCGTCTGTATTAACGCAATTCCAATGCTTCCCGACAAGACACAAACCGGATGCACCAGACATGCATATAATTGAATACGGTACTTGACCGCACGCACGTACGTAGATGCTGTATTAGACTAAATGAAGCGTGGGGATTTGCTGTAACACATACGTATACCATTATATACACATTCATACATTACATATTACATTACATATTACACACACACTCATATATATATATACACACTGCAACACACACACACACACACACACGCGCGCACGCACACACGCACACACGCACACACGCACACACACACACATTTATATAAATATAAACACACTGATAAATGCAATAGTGTTGAGCAGTTAAAAT